GATGATTAAAATGTAAATAGTCATAGGTAGGTTAGTTAGTTAGTGTTAGTTACGGATTAAGCTTTCCCGCTCATAAATCTCTTTCTCTCTCCTCATTAGGTTAGACTATATAAATACTGCGTAATACTCTGTAATTCATCACTTTTTTCCCCAATCAATCAAACAGAATTCTTCTCCAGTCTTCCATAATAAAAAAATTCTAGCAGCCTATTAGTTAAAAAAAAAAAAAGGAATGCTCTAGACCCTTTCATGAATCATCCTCCATTATCAAGATGGGAGGGGGCGGCCACCGCACTCCTTTAAAGAAAGAGAATTATTTACATCTCTCCAAAAAAAAACTAGAGTAATAATTAATTAGCTCACGAAGCAGACGGAAGACGACTGAGCTAGGGAAGAAGAAAGACGACATTATTGAAGAAAAAAAGAAGGAAGCCAACTCTTGGTGCTGCCGCGCGCAGAAGAATCCATCCTACCTGCACAGAAGCAGCAAGAAAAAACCACACGAAAGAAATCACATTACATATAAACAGAGAAGAAATGCAGAAAGGGAAAGGAAAGAGGGTGGGGAGAGTGGAGAAAATGGAGCTCCCTTCAGTCCAATAGGCGAGCAAAGCGTAAGCGGAAGGGAGTTGCTCCCCAAATCCCATGCACCCTTGGCCACGCTTTACCACCTTAGAATTAATTTAGCATGGCCGGGAGATGCATGAGATGGCAGCTCTTGCCGCTTCTTTGCCCCCTTCATTGAACTAAAGGGAGCTCCCCCTTTTTTTTTTTTTTTTTGCGCTACAGCCAGCCAGCCAGCTTGCTTCTGATCAGGAATTAATGAATGTGAGAATGAAGGAGGAGGAGGACTGTATATATATATAGGCAGAGCTCTGATGAGTGCACACTAGCGGGGGAACCAATTACTGGAAAAAAGAAAAAAAAAAAAGAAATATCTTATGCTAAATTGCATCGATGATTACGCTACGCATGCGGAATAGTGGCGAGACAGCGACGGAGACCAATGGGTTGGTTGAGAGAGACGTTCTTCCCAGCCCTACTCACGTCGTCCCATTTCTTTTCTACGTGCTCTCTTCTCTTGTTCATTTTTAATTATTACTACTTTAGTTTTATCATCACAATTAATAATAATATAATAATTGAGCTGCCAGCTTTGTTTGAGAAACCTTCCACTTCCAGCCGTGTTTAGTTATATATATATACCAAAAAAAAAAAGAATTGTATAACGTATCAGGCGGTAATTGTACTTGAAAAGGTTAATTATAAGGTATTGTACATGTATATAATGGTGAAATGGTGATATAAATTTATTTTTTATCGTTAGGTACTATTTAAATCATTGAAATTTGTAATTATCAGGTTCAATCATTTCATAATGATAACAAATGTAGATTCCTGTGAAATCTCCGATACCATACGATTTCATAAAGACTGGATTTATTATATATCATTTCCTCTCCTCTGCTACTATGGATGGACGTAATCCCTACCTTGTTGAGTTTTAAAAGTGGAAGTCCTTAATTAACTAATTAAAAAGGAAGTCGTAGTACTTACGGTTAATTATTTGTTTATATATATATATATGATAGCTACTTCGTGCATTCGCTTTTTTGGTGCATTGAATGTGCCAAACTCTGAAGTTAGGCATAGACATCAAATTCTGAATTTTAACTGTAAGCATTAGTATAATATGAAGATATAATAAATTATCACAACTAATCAATCAATTACCTTAACCCCTAAACCTTCAATTTTGAACACTAACCCAAAACATCAAATTCAGGTGCACTGAATGCATTAAAAAAAAAGCGAGTGCACCAAAAACACTACTCTATATATATATATATAAGGGAATCAACTAGTAGCAGTAGGTCTCTTTCTGTTGATTAATAATTAACGGCTGTAATTAATTATTCTCGAGGGTCAAATCATTCGTTTAAGGAATTTTTACTTTATTGAGTGATTCCTATTCTATTGAATGATTAGAGGGCCAAATCACCGTTTTCAACTCAATCACGTTGGCCACTAAGTTGGATTCTCTGCATTTAAGCAAACCTTCATTTGTTTAATTATATGAGTGAATATGACCCTCCTATTCTATATCTGACGAGTTCACCGTCCGTACAATTTATAATTAAGAGATAATAATGGCATTCCAATTATTTTCATAAAAAAATTATACTTAAAATTTAAAAATATGTGGTAGTTTATTTGAACTAATGTAATTCTCCCCACGCCTACCCAATTATTTTGAGTGTGTTAAATTCCTTACATTATTCGCATAATCAGAAAAGGAGATTCCCAAATGTCGTAACATGTAAATTGATTACGGGTGAGGAATTTTAACACATCAATTTGATTCAATGGTCGCGTTTTGAGATAATTGGGCCAAATTAATACATTTGGCGGCATAAAATTTGGATGAAACAATTTGGTTTGGAAAATTTTGAATTGACTCGTTTTGAGATATTTTTAATTGCTCGGGGTGGGGATAGATAATTCGAATTGACTCATTTTATAAAATGAGATAATTGACCAAATTATCTCATTTTTCCAGTGATTCATCCAAACGACCCCTACGCCTAGAAAATCACCAAACCTAACCTTAAATGTTACAGTGACACTACTAGCCCATTGGAAAAAAATAAACAAGAAATTAAAACCTAGTCCTTCATGGACAAGTCAATTTTCCCTTTAACTATGTCAGACCGTCACCATCTTCATTTAGATCTTTGATAATCGAAATCCAAATCAAACCAAGCTAAACGATGATATTTATATGAATATCTGAATATGTATATGAATATTTACATCTATCTAACACAACAAATTATATTTATCGAAAAAAAATTATATTTATCGAATTTGCTAATATCTCGACATTTAGTATGCACCTAAACATTTTATATGAATTAAATTAATATTTTACTAAAAAAAATTACAAATGGAGAGGTCAAATCATGTGAAAAGTAGGTTCACGTGATGACACCCAAAAATGTACATAATCTTTAATGTCCAAACAAGTGAATATATTCTGACAGTCATAAGCACAAAGTCACACGCCCTCAACGAAAGTTGGTTGGCTTTCATTCATTCTTCACACCACCAGCTGGGTTTGGTTACCATTTGGCAAACTCGTTAGTGTTTTGCTCGAGTCAATTAGTTAGTTTCACAACTGAATCCCCTCCCCAACCCCAAGTCTCAACTAACTCCATTTCCTACCTATGCAAATGGTCCGAACCAATGGCGCATATTGTCTTTCATACTTTGCACCATACGTTGCAACTTCAACGTTTGTAGATATGGATGCAGTTGCAGATGGATTACAGGTTGAAGTACGAACCGAACTGATTCTGCTAACACTAGTTTACCAAAAGATGTCATGTCCGATCAGTTATCGCCTCGACGAGCACCTATAATCCACGAAAAGAAGTCATGTTCAATCAGTTCTCAACTCGACGAGCACCTATAATCCAGCAAATGTCATGTCACTGAGATCTCAGCCTCCACAGGCGACGAGGGTAATATCCGCCTCGCACGATTAGCAGAACATAGTAACATTTCGAAAGCAGCATCCATTCATCGAGAAGGTTTATCCACACAAAACATGTGATTCCCATTATGACAGAATCCCAGCCTGGAAGTTCAAGGCAGCGGTACACTACAGGAGATATGAGAGGAATGATTGTGTGGATATATAGTCAAGGGACAAGAGAAGCAAAAAAACATTAACAACTTCAAATCGTAAAGGATTGCATTCCTTCAGTGTCCAGCATTGATCTCCCGGCAATGTGGCTCATCTGCAAGAGAAATAAAGTAACAAGGACTTAAGTTTCTCTGGTTCAGAAATTAGAACGAGGTCCGATTCCCTGAGTTAATAACTTCACATGCATTGTCATTCAGATAGGAGAAAAAGAACACAAGTTTCCCACTCAATGCAAGAGTTTATTTTTTAATATGTGGCAACATTCATACAGATTAAGGCAAATGCGGGTTTAGCCTAGTGGTAATATTTCTAGTCTTGAACCTGGAGGTCCCAGCCTCCCGGGTTAGAATCACTTCAGTAAGACCTAACTATAAATATGAACTTATGTCATCCTTATAAAACAACATTCATACTTAAATAACCATATGCACAAAAGTAGCTAGCCTGTGCCACCTTCATGCAGGCATCAGAAGGAAAGGAAAGAGAGACTGGAAATTTTGAAGAACGCGACCAATCGCATGCTAACATGAAGAATTGCAGAAGCATTCTTTTCTCAGGCACAAAACAGAATCAGGAGAAATCTCTTAGCCAAAGCAAAAGAAAACACGATGTTCGTAATGGGGCTCAGTGACCAATAACCTGCCCCCTTTTGATGCCTGACTAGCTCAATAAAAATTCAATTTAGATATGGTAATAATCCACACTCCTGTTTGAGGAGGTACCTTCTTTTCTGTTTCAGAAAAGATGGGAATTGCATTTTTCAGAGGCATAATTAAACTGTACATCTTAATCAACTGGGTTGCTTGGCTTGGACTAAAGTGCACAAATAAAATTGGGTTAACCACTAATGTGCAGACCACATTCTTATAACATCTACAAGAAAATGCAGAACAGCGCTATTATATTTCTATGCGAAACCAAAATCTGGGTAACCTTTTGTTTCTTTGTTTCTTCATCTTCTAACAAAAAGGAGCTCACATACGGCAAGGTCAATACAAATAAGTTACGGAGTATCCACCCTTTCATAGCACAAAATCCCTATACGAAGCATTCAAATGAGCCTGACTTCTTTCTAGTTGAAAAAGTTGACTGGGTAGAGTCATCTATTGGTGTGCCCACAATGCACAATGTTTCATGTTTTAGACATATGCATAACATCATCATCTATTAGTAGTTCTTAGGTGAACATGTTTACATAACATGGATGCTTTATTTATCCTCCTCAAGCATGATTACAGATTTCTGAATCTCAATACATCTTTTAACATTGGTCTTCACAATTAACTAATTAAGCAGACATTTATATTTACTTGCCCTTCCACCAACTGTGATAAGTCTAAGAGCAATTGTGAACTCTTGCTATCAATTCTAAAAGAAACCAAAAAACTTTCCACAATCAACAGACTAACTCAATACATACAGGATGACGATTCATGATTCGATTAGCCACACATTAAACAAAATAAACAGCATGATCCACCACCACTAAGACAAGCTTTCGTTTACGTCAAAACTAACAATTGGCTTGCTAGTCATGATCTTCTTTTTACACTGTCTGGTTTCAATTCCAAGATAATACCCAAATACATAAATAATCATGGAGACTTCACGGCCATAATTATTCACATCCAAATTATCACCTCAAAATCTCTATCATAAGCCTAGTGTTGTCAACAAATTCTTCAGAGCATGTTCATTGAGCTAAAACGGACAGTCGACTTTTAGAAGAGAACCTAGGAGTAATTCATATTGACTAAGGTGAATTTCCCTTCTTTTCACATCAGGTTACACTACCACATTAACCCATTCCGCACATCCACCGAACAAACACTTGAAGCGACTCCACTGCTGAAACAACATTTCAAACTACAAACCAAAATCACCCAACAAAACTATCACGATGAGCTCACTTTTCTCACACAACTCAAATTCAGAAATTGTTCTACCACTAAAGAAACAACATTTCCCCAAAGCATAGTTACCCATATCATCAGAACTCAACTGGGAAATAGTCGAATTGAAAAGGAGAAATTCAGAATACAAAGGCCAAAAGATTACCTTGAGACCAAGCAACCCTTTTACTCCTCGGACTCCACGGCTTCCACCTTGGGACCTAATCCAGAAATGAGAAGACGAAGCCAGGAAAATTCAATTCATGGAAACGAAATAAACCGCAGGAAATAAGAATCTCGAAATCCCTAACGACAAAGATCGGAGGGATAGAGAGAGAGAGGGGTCAAACCGTGAAAAGAATGAGGGCGATGGTCCTTTCCCCAGCCAATACCACGAGTAGACTCGAGGTACTGCTCGACGAGGTGGCGGCATTTCTGGTGGTGGTTGACACCTTCGACGCGATAGCACCAGCGGAGCCTCTCCCTCAGAATCTTGGCCTTCTCAATGGCGATCCACTTCTCCCTCACGATGTGCTCCCTCATCTCCAGCATCGCCACCGGGTCCTTGTACGGATTGGACGGATCGAAGTCATCCGGCGGCGATTCCTCGAACTCGGCGACGCCCTTCTTCCTCCCCATGGTCTCTTTGCCTTCAGTCAATCTTTCCTTGCGCGGTGAAGGTTGATGATCTCGCTCGCTCCGTTAGCTGTGCGCTTCTGGTCGCAGCGGGTGAACTCTCTCTGATAATCTCTCTCTCTCTCTCTCTCTCTCTCTCTCTCTCTTCGCTACTCCGCTGGCTTATGTTCTCCAAGTTGGGGACGTTGGGCTTTCAGGATATTAGGGATATGGGCTTTTGCGGTCTTCCAGTCCATAAGTTGCTAAGCCTGATTGGGATTTGTCTAAGGCTCAAATTGGAAGTCATACTGGGGTCCAATCCATCATGGATCTGTTTCTTGATGCTAAGCTAGGCTCCGATCCACCATGGAGCTAGTTTTTTTTCTTCTTTTTCTGTGATTTTTCTGTCAAATGGTTAAAATGGCATATCAGTTTAGGGATGGAGCCATGGAGGTGAGTTCTTTCATTTGACAATTGGCTAGAGACTTCCTCTTTAGGTCCCGTTCATTTCTTATTTTGATTTTTGTTTTCTGTTGCCACAACAAAAATTTGAAAAAAATGAAGAAGATAAAATGTATTTGCTTTGATTTTTTCATTTGCGACAATTAATTGTAAAAAAAAAACGTCGTCTGAAGAAAATGAAAAAGTGGGTTCTAGAAATCCAAAGGAGGGGTTTCTCCCTTTATTTCGTCTTTCGTGGAAGCCTTTAATAAGGTTGGGGCTTCGAGACCTTTTTTTTCGTCTTTCGTCATTCGTTCCCCAACCCCTCCCCTCCGAAACCCTACACTCGACCTCACTTCTCTCCACCTCCAACAAACTGCCTTCCTCCAGCCTCTCAAGATCAACTCCCCAAATCGCCAAACCCTTCCGTCGCTTCTTCTCCCAAGCAACCCCCGCCGCTAACCGAGAGTCCCCACTGCTGCATTTTCTCATGGCCGCTACATCTTCCTGTCGGAGAACGAATCCTCAAAGCCTTCATATAACTAAACTATATTTATTTATTAATCATATTGATGAGGTGGAATGCCGACTCGATAAATCTAACATAAATTTGGATGAAAAAATGACGGAATGTTTCATTTTTTATTCCCTGTTCTAAATGGTTCACAAAATATATAATTTTACCCTAGCACTTCAAGGAGGAATTCCAAAAATACACATGTTTTTAAAAAAAAATTCTCAAAATACACACGTTATAAAAAAAATTCTCAAAATACACATGTTTGGGCGTCACCGCTGTTTTCAACCGCAGTGAATGCATTCACCGCGGCAGACCAAAGCAGTGAATGCATCACCGCGGTTGACGGCCGCGGTGAATGCCCGACCTAACACTGAAACTTCAAACAAACGTAACTTTGCGGCTTGCGCTCGGTTATCCCATTGTAGCGAATTTTTTTTTTTGATTCCATATAACTTTTCAAGATCTTTCAATCTGATAGAAGACTTCATCTGAAAAAAATATCGTTTGTTACCCCGAACAAGCAATTTTTCGATCTTGTCAAACTTTGGAAGGACATAACTTTTAGCTCCTCAATCCGAACGCCGTAAAGTTTTTTTGATTGCGCATAACTTTTTAAGAACTACAACTTTGACTAGGAAATAATTTTTTAAAAAAGAAGTATTTTTGGGTATACGGAATTTTGGGAATAACTTTGCCTTTACTTTTCACAAATCCACATACTTTCCAAAATTATGGTTATAATCAAACTTGTAGTACTTTAAAAGTTATGCAAAATAAAAAAAAAAGTTTCATGACATTCGGATTGTGGAGCATAAAGTTATGATCTTCCAAAGTTTGTCAAAATAAAAAAATTGCTCGTTCGGGGTAGCAAATGATTTTTTTGGGGGATGAAGTCTTTTTTCAGATTGAAAGATCTTGAAAAGTTATGTGGAATAAAAAAAAACCCTACAATCGGATAACCGAGCGCAAAGTTAAGTTTGTTTGAAGTTTCAGTGTTACGTCAGGCATTCACCGCGGCCGTCAACCGCGGTGATGCATTTACCGCTTTGGTCTGCCACGGTGAATGCATTCACTGCGGTTGACAACAGCGGTGATGCCCAAACATGTATATTTTGGGAAAAATTTTTATAACGTGTGTATTTTGAGAATTTTTTTAAAAAGATGTGTATTTTGGGATTTTTTCCAGCACTTCAACGGGGACAAATGTAGCCATTGACCATACAGGCAACATGCATTTGATGGGTTTGAGAAAGTTTTGTTTCACTAGTGACATAAAAAACAAAAAAATACACTAATTACGCTGTATAACATTGAGAGGATACGTATAGCAATACATGTATTGGAGATGTAGCACGAATACCGGAAGCCATTCGTATACAAATCGTAGAGCGTAGATGACGGGAGAGGAGTTTAGATGCATACAGAATTCTCTGTTTCTTCCTAAGTTCCCGCCCTCTTTCTCTTTCCCTATCCCTTCTTCCGCCTTTCCTTCCATTGATTGATTACACACAATAGAAAATGTTCAGAGAAACCAATCCTCACAAAGTCAAAATAACTGGAGAAAACCCATAAACAAAAAAAATTCCCTGAGAGAACAGAACCTGCAGAAGGGGAAAGAAAGGGGAAAGAACAAAAAAAACCTGAAACACAATCTGTTGGTTGTTGAAAGGTAGCTTTCAATCTATCGATCGTCTTCAGAATCTGTGTCCTAGCTTGCGCTTTCTTCAGGTTCAGCTTCTCCTTCTTCATCCACCCATCTCTGGAATTCACTATCTTCATCTTTCTTATTTTGGAGCCGATTTTGTGTTCCCCTGATATTTGTTTCATCTAGTTTCTCATTCAAACAAACAATGTTAAAAAGGGAATTCAATATCTAGAACCATAAATGGTTAGTCGACATGAATTAGTGATGGCAGTTCCATTTCTTAATGTTATGATTAGAACAGTGATTGCCCTTGAGACGGGGAGTTCTTCTTGTAGTTTAAGGACATAAGAGTTAATTATGGAAAACTAATTCTGGCTCATTATAAATCTCTATCTTTGTCTCTTATGTCACATCTTCAAACCATTGTATTTTTTTTTTGGAACATGATAGATATTTCAATTGTCTAGAAAATGATTTGCAAGCTTCCAAATTTGATTTTATTTGCGTGAATTAAATATGAAATTACATGCCGATGGTAAGACAGCCTAGTTGATAAAAGGGCTGGGTTTCGAGTTTGGGATGTGACAAGGTCCCAGGTTCGAATCCCAATACCACCATCTTGGTGTTCCCGGAGGCATCCTTGGTACAGGAGACGAAGTCTCCCCGATAATGGTAGCACAACGCCGAGCACTGCGCCGGGACAAAGTCCTTGATGGTTAGTATGCAGGTACCCCTAGGTTTAGGAGGCTCCGCTGTCACTCATGTGGCATGTGGGTTGCTGATGTTCCTGGATTATCAAATAAAAAAATAAATACGAAATTACATAAAAGAGAAGGTATATTGTGTAAATATTGGTTTGTTTAACACAAGTACCATATTCCTTTTCTGAACATGATGTTACATTGAACCTAACTCTCTGATTGTATTTATAGTGCCTATCTATCATTCCATCAATGATAGTCCCTACATCGAACTCATTGTTTTTAACCTTTACTTTGTTTCAATTAGTGAATGCTAGAGAGTGAAGGCAAGCTAGATGTGCCTCAAGGAAACGTGTAATGACTACCAGTTCATCAGATTACCTAATGAGACAATTCAGCAGAGTCAACAGTGCCAAACAACTTCCAACTACTGACTGGGATTTCTCTCAACCATCTCCACTACTCGATTCTGATCATGACACCGAGGGTAAGCAAGCAAGGAAACACCAGACCAAATAAACATAATAATTGTTGTTTTACTTGAACACTTTCTTAATCAATCTTTCTCTCACTGATAATCAATTCTCATCATTCATTTCTTGTTCAATAGAGAGGAAGCTAGTTGTGCTGATAGAGTGGATTACTACCATTCTACCTGATCTGAAACTCCCACCAAAAGCTTCAGTTGAAGAGCTGAGAGAATGCCTTAGTGATGGCACTGTTCTTCTGAAGATCTTGAAGAAAGTCAGGCCAGGATCTATCACAGAAGATGTAAATCTCAGTCACTTGGATTGCAGTGAATAACCAGGCAAGTTTATGGAGTTAACCTTTTCTGATCATGTTGGTAAATTTTTCTGCCTTGCGAATAATGCAGGATGGAAGTTTGGAGGGTCAGAAAGCATCACCTCACCAGAATGTTCAACGATTTCTGGACCTCATCAATGAAAGGGGGATCCCCAAGTTTGAGATTGCAGACTTGGAGAAGGTACCTTCAAACTACATGTAGCAAGTTTAAAAAAAAAATTACTATAAATGTACCATGATTGGTAACTAGAGATGAATTATGGATTTACTATGTGTAAAAGGGTTCTCTTAAGAGAGTGGTGGATTGCCTGCTATCACTGAGAGCAAGGTACCCAACAGGAAGGAACAATGGCTTTCCAACGAGTGGCAGAATGACCAGAAGTGGGAGCCTAAGGGAGTTCTCTCCTTACCAGAGCCTTCATCTTGGTCCGTTCTCATCGTCACTCTCATCGCCTGGAGCAGAAAGGCAATCACTCTCCTCTGACTCCAAGTTGCAGCAGTTCTTGCGTACTAGTCCTGCCCTTTCAGGTAAATTCAAGCTAGCTACTGGAAGAAACAGTTAAAACTGTAGCTTGTTTCTTCTTCTTGTTGTTTAATCTGCTTGTATCTTTTCTGGGGATGATGTAGATTCATCTGCAGCGTGGATGCACCACGCTGGACATCGGTTCCATGAGGTGTTCCAAGTCAGACAAGGACGTTATGCTGACCTATCGCCTTCGAAGATATCAGAGATGATGAAATCTACCAGCTTGGATGTAATGCTTCTTCCTGCAGTCAATTTAGTTGATATCACTAATCATGTATACATTATGACGTTATCATCGTATCGTTGTCATTTGTGATTTGTTGTTATGTTATTATGCAGAATGCTCCAACTCAATCGTTGTTGAGTGTGGTGAATGGGATCTTGGACGAAAGCATCGACAGAAAGAATGGTGAAATCCCTCATGTATGCAAATGACACATCAATGTATATGTGTAAACATGATTTAAATAATGTCAATACAATTAGTACATGTCTGGATAGTTGTTTAAATGGCTTGTCCCATTTTGTGGTTGAGCAGCGGGTGGCTTGCCTGCTAAGAAAGGTTGTTCAGGAGATTGAAAGGCGGATATCCACTCAAGCAGAACACCTGAGAACAGTAAGGCCTTATTTCTCTTATTGTTAACCCTAGTAAGGCTTCTGTCGTTCTCCCTACTGCTGAATCTTTGTTTCGTATGGCGTTAGCAAAACAACCTGTTCAAGGCACGTGAGGAGAAGTATCAGTCGAGGATTAGGGTTCTTGAGACGCTTGCTTCTGGGACAGGTGAAGATACTGGGGTATGCCAGGCTCACCAATTTTACAATGTGTGGTACATAGTTTGAGGATACAAAACTATACATGCATTTGGGTAGCACGTTCATTTGTGTTCATAACTTGGCTTGTATCAATTTCTGTTGCAGATTGTCATGGATCAGCTTCCACCCATTAAGGTACAACCCTCTCAACTCCTCTAATTCAAGTTTTCTGTTCAGATTTCATAATGCTAAGTAAAATTCTTGTAGGGTGTCAAGTTAAAGGTAGAAGAGAAGACCAAGGTGAATGACGAGATAGCGAAGCTGTTGAAAGAAAAGGAACAAGCAAATCTTGAACTTGCTAGGCTACGCGAGGAGCTCGAAAAAACGAAGACCGTATACGATGACATGGTCAAATTGTTAAAAGAAAAGGAGCATGCATACAACCAACCCTCATCGTCTTCACAGCAAGAAAATGTCAACTGTGAGACGAAGAACACTCAAGTTTCATCTTTGCAACAAGAACTTGTAGAAGGGAAGAAAGAACTTAATCACCTAGTTCATTCAATGAGAGATGAGAACCAACAACTACAGTATGAACAGAAGACAAATGCTGAGATTTTAGCCTTGCAACAAGAACTAACAGTGACAAAGAAGGAACTTAATGATATGGTTGATTCGACAAAAGAAAAGGACCAACTGAAACATGAACAGAAGACAAACACTGAGGTCCTAGCCTTGCAGCAAGAACTAGCTGCAACAAAGAAGGAACTTAACGACGTGGTTACTTCTGTGAAGGAAAAGGACCAAAGGAAACTTGAAGTAGAAGCAACTATGAACTCAAATGATGAGGTGGGCCGAGAAGCTAGTATTGCTGAAATAACTGGACGAGGAATAATTGTTGAACAAGAAGTTGAAACAAGGAGAGATGGAAATGGTGATGTGGTGGCTACATTAATGAAGGAGAAGGATCAAATGAGTCAAGAAATCACAACACTGAAGCAAGAACTCGAAAAGACAAGAAAAGGGCACGATTATGATAAGGCTAGATTGATGAAGGAGAAAGAGCAAATTAGTGTTCAACTCACAACTCTGCTGCAAGAACTCGAAAAAGCCAGACAAGGACAAGGTGATGATGTGGTGAGATTGGCGAAGGAGAAAGACGAGATGAGTTTCAAACTCTCATCACTAAAGCAAGAACTTGAAACAACAAGACAAGAACATGATGAATTGGGGAGATTAATGAAGGAGAAAGACCAAGCAGGTCAAGATCAACTCTCAACGTTGCAGCAAGAACTTGAGACAATCAGAGAAGCAAATAAGAATGCAGTGAAGTTGGAAGGAGAACTCAATTCAATGAGGAAAGCACGAGATGAGATGGCTAGCTTGGTAGAGGAGAAAGGACAAGCTAACCTGAAACTCGCTATGTCATTGCAAGAGCTAGAGGAAGCCAATAAGGCACAGGAACAAAAGTACTTGGAACTGGAAGCTGAGACAAAAACTGCAGCAGCTGGTTTCGATAGGAGGGTAAAAGAGCTTGAAACTTTCCTAGAAGATTCAAGGAATGAGCTGAAAGGTCTTAAAGCAACATTGGAGTCTAGACAACAGAGTTGGAGCAAGAAAGAGACCACCTTTCTCAAATCTGTCAACTTGCAGCTTCATGCACTGCATGTATGCTCTTTACTTACATTTTACTTTCCTTTCCCTTTGGCTCTCATTGAGAACTTCACTCACTGAACAAATCAAAACAAATATAGGAACTGAGATTTTCTTCCTCAAGCATCAAGGAAGAAGTCTTACAAGTGCAGCAAGACTATTCTGAGAAGTTTCATAGCCTAGGAGTGAAGTTCAAGGCATTGGTGGATGCAAGTGAGAACTATTACCTGGTTCTTGCTGAAAACAGGAAGCTATTCAATGAGCTCCAGGATCTAAGAGGTACTGATATTCTTCAACTATCCGATGAACGAATTCATTTGTTCAGAATTATCTGTCATATCATCTCATGTTTTGATTGTGCAGGGAACATTAGAGTGTACTGTCGAGTAAGGCCGTTCTTGCCAGGGCAAGCTGCAAACAAGTCTGTGGTTGAGCACATCAGTGACAAAGGAGAATTAGTAGTAGGGAATCCTGCTAAAACAGGAAAAGATGGTCGCAAAATGTTCAGGTTTAACAGAGTATATGGCCCACAAGCTACTCAAGGTTATTCTTCTTCCCTAAACATATCCCTTTCATCTCTTCCTTTTTTGCTTTACTCAACTTGAACTCTACTGCAGCTGAGGTTTACTTGGACACACAACCCTTGGTGCAATCTGTATTAGATGGCTACAATGTCTGCATATTTGCCTATGGACAGACTGGGTCTGGCAAAACATACACAATGGTATACCGGTTTTTGTTCTTTCTTCTCCATTCAATCTCTTAGCTTATTCAATCTAGTAAGTAAAAGCTAACATGCAGAGGTTTGATTTACCTGCAGCTGGGTCCAAATGGAGCACAAGAAGAAGAATGGGGAGTGAACTACAGAGCTCTAAAGGATCTCTTCAACATGTCAAAGAACAGAAGTGACTCCATTTCTTACGAGGTTGGAGTCCAGATGGTGGAAATCTACAACGAGCAAGTCAGAGACTTGCTAACCAATGACGCCCAGAAGAAATATCCTTCTTTTTTCTTCTTTTTGCCCTGCATTCTTCATTTTTAATTTACTTTCTCAATTTTGTTTGTGGTCCTTGATTCAATTCTTCCCCCACACGCTCGGGATCCTAACGACACCATCAAGCAACGGGATCGCCGTCCCCGACGCGACGATGCTGCCGGTCGCGTCAACTTCCGACGTGATGGACTTGATGCACATTGGCTTGAGCAATAGAACCGTCAGCGCGACGGCGATGAACGAGAGAAGCAGCCGCTCCCACAGCGTCCTCAGCGTCCACGTCCGCGGGAAAGATTTGCAAGCCGGGACTACTCTGTTTGGGAATCTCCATTTGGTTGATTTGGCTGGAAGCGAGAGGGTTGACCGGTCAGAAGTCACCGGAGACCGGCTGAAGGAGGCTCAACATATTAACAAATCGCTCTCTGCTTTGGGAGACGTCATTTTCGCTCTTGCCCAGAAATCTACCCATGTTCCTTACAGGAACAGCAAGCTCACCCAGCTGCTCCAAAGCTCTCTCGGTAAGAACTTTGATTTCAAATCTGATCAGTGGAAAAGGCCAAAGGGTTTATCTTTGACCTAATTATTGTCGTTCGCCATAGGTGGACAAGCAAAGACCTTGATGTTCATCCAGCTGAACCCCGATGCGACGTCATATTCGGAGAGCCTAAGCACCCTAAAGTTTGCAGAAAGGGTTACAGGGATCGAGCTGGGTGCGGCGAAGAGCAATCCGGGAAGAGACGTTAAAGAGCTAATGGAGCAGGTTTGGTTAACAATTCCACCATAAGCTTATGAATTCAGTGATCAATGCGTTTGTTAATCTGGGGGGATTTCTGTTTGTAGTTGGCGTCTTTGAAAGACACGATTGCGAACAAGGACGAAGAGATAGAGAGGCTGCAAGTGTTCAAAGGGCACCCGAGCAGTGTGGAGAAGCCTCCGGCGAGGCTTCGCACGAGGAAGTCGGCTTCAGGGGAGAGAGGGTTAGGGCTGACGGAGACTACAACTTCATCAGATCACAGCGACGTTTCCGACGGTGAAGCTTCTGTTGGGACGGAGCCGGAATCCACCGCTGACGACGCCGGGAAACCACTCGCCGACAAGCCTGGAGAAAAGTCAGATTTTTTATCATCAATTTAATCTTGTTTCCAATTTTGCAATATGGGAGTTCATTAATTGTTGTCTTTGTGGTGCAGCAGGCGTGGTGCTAGGATGACGAAGGCCCGGAGCCTGCAGAAGCTGTCGGACGCTAGACCGTCGACGACGGTGACGGTGTCCAGAGACCCTCTGAAAGGATCAACAAGTAAATCATGTTCTGAATCTAGTGATGAGATTTCAGAAATGTGATTTGTACGAAATCAGGAACCATTGTTACTATATGATTGTTGTTGTGATCCTGTTTCAGGTGTTAAGAAAAGTACTATAGGCAGCGGCGCCTCCGGTGGGAGCTCTTCCTTGCAACGACCGAGCAGTGCGAGTTCCAGCAGATCGCGGCGAGCATAAAAATGGAATAAGATAGCAACCAACCACCAACTGACCCCATTTCCTGACCATTTTAGGGGATTGCAGTGTAGAGCACATGCTTATGGCTGGGTTGTGGCCTATGTAATGTGTAAAGTTTTGCTAGGCTTCCTAATTTCTTTTGGGTTAGGGTTCTTAGCTTTGTAATAATTGGATCCACATTGGTGGGGAGTGTGAAGTTGAAGGCAACATGAACTGGTCTCATCTGGTCTGTAGATTTGGCTAGAAAAAGATGTAAATTTTGTTTTTCCGGGAGGTGTGAAAGATCACATGTAAATTTATCAATGTACAAATTTCTAAGCATGTACATTTCAGTAACCTTACATTATTGTATTCATAATTGTCTTTTACAATTCGAGCCATCAAGTTAATTGAGTGACATTAGGGTAAGGAGTATCTTCGTAAATCTCGCTACATTCACATAAATTTCAAGAACCCCCCCCCCCCCCCCCCCCCCCCCCAAAGCGAAGCTCTAATCTCTTTCTATGATTTAGTTATTTGCCCTTATTTTGTTTTAGATGAATCAATCGCCTCTTGCTTGAGACTTGATAGATCATTTTGATCTCCTTTATCCCTGGGTAATGGAGTTGCTCATAGAGTCCACCTTACATCAACTCAATTTACTTCTCAACACTCAAAATCGAATGTCAACATCACCCATAATTAGGCGGTGGGTGAAAGGATCTCCTCTTAGAACTTGAGAGTTTCATATAGACTGAACGGCAAATTAAGGTTTGCTTCAAAACCTTATGGCTTACGATTATCATTGGTGTTGATTGTACAAAAGTGAGAATTGTGGGAGTTGGTTATGTGTATAGAGAGTTGTTCCTAAACACTTTTGGATTCCTTTCCGATAGTGAGAAAGGAGTACCTCGTGTTCCTATAAACAAGATAGGGGTTTCTCGCTGTTACAATGCAGAACAAAACAACCTATGAAAGAAAGTATGAACACACATTATTTCGTTTTATGAGTTTTCCATTGCAATTTTCTACCATGGCGAATAAAAGTTTTTCTTAGAGGAGATGAATGAAAACACTGGGGCCATCAAGAGATGCAATAATATTGACCTAACCCACGTAGAAAAATTGAAAGGTCTCAGTACTGAAGTAGTAGAAAAGAGAGAATAAAATTCATCATCACTTAGACTTTGAAATCAACTTCATTAGAGAGGATGTTTTTTGTTCATAAGGCGTGTAGTCTACACTCTACATTTTTCTACCAAAATTGTTTGCTTCATGTATTTGGTGTACGGTGTTCCATAGTACCATAAACACAATTAACAACCTCAAACGATAAGCAAGTGTTGCAAGACTAATATTTTCTTGATACGTTATTGCAACTTGCAAGTAATAACACTAAATTCGTTGGAACGTTTTCGAGAACTACCACCGAACTTAGACAACACCGTGACAATGTTCGATCGATATGTGTTCACAGTTCATCTCTATTGCATTTTTTTTTTTTTTGCCTGCATTATCACACTGTCTGTGTGTCTAAACCTCCCCTTTCAAGGTCAATCATCTAATCTTCACCACCTAACTCATAAAGGAGCGTTTTTTTTTTTTTTTGGCGAGTGAATATAAAGAAAGCATCAGTCTCTCTTCACGCCATACTCTTCCTTTTTCTGGTAAGCCTTTTGTCACCACAATCGCCGCCCACTAATTTTGGTTCCCAACGCGTGGCAACAATGCCATGGCGTTGGAACAAATAATGCGCCAGAAATATTTTCTTCTTCCACAGTTGGAAACCGGAATCAGTGGATTCTATAAAGAACAACCACTTTCCCTTATAGAGGAATGACCTTCTTTCTTGTATCTACCCCTTGTACATTAGCTCCAATTTCATAGAACTAATCACTATCAATGAAGCATGGTTAAGGGTGTCATATCACGAAAGAAGATCGTCAATCGAACTGATATGATATACATACATAACCGAGCAATTTAACGCGGTTAAACTAGCAACCCACAGTAAATCTGGTGTCTTTTCACTCACATTATACTGATTATAAAGAGATATATCACTTGGATTCCATTCCCTAACTTATCCAGTACGATATGTAATACCGTTTGGCGAACATTGCACGAGACTATACGAAATCAAAATTCAGGAGTATTAATTGTGTACTGTAAGTAATGAATGAACGGAACCACAATGTTGTATCATTATCATCATCATCATCAGAATCAGATTAGGGGGAACATATCATAATAACATGTTTGTTGCAAAAACACAACAAATTTCAAAATTGCTTACAATTTTCTCAAATGACCAATCAAAATATCTCATGCTAAAGGGAAAAAGGTTCTACAATTAGGAAAACATCTCATATGGAAACAGAGGACATATAAACTGATCTGATCTATTGACAAAATGTACCTATTCATCATCATCATCACCAAGGAAAAGAGGGGAGAGACACCATTTGGAACTCTCCCCAAACCCTAGCTAAAGCTATTTATTACTTCCTCCATAACTCAACAGCATCCGATGTAGCTTCATCTTCATCTGTTCTTTGCAACAATCGATCCTTCAAACCTAATCGCAAAGGTCGCGGACCAAACAGAGGTGAAGAACAATGACCCTAGTAGCCTCATACATAAGCGCCAACTATTTGGAAAATGGAATGAAATGACTTGATCCTACTTATAGTACGCCCTCCCTCCGTATTTACACAAGAACAGGAAATAATTGCCCAACCTTGAGCTCGAAAAGGTCACTTGCTTTTACTCTCTCTATCCAGATCAAAATTCTGACTTATTTGATTGTAGTTTTGGAAACCTACCAAAATGTGGAGTGGTTCTTTTTTATTAATTATGCAACGGCAGAGATGCGACAGTTTTGTCGACCGTCTCTGTTGAGGCAATCGAAGCCTTCGATCCTCACGGTGGCCGGCTTCTGCCCCAATCTCACACACCCACGCGAGGCTGACGTGGATGGCGACAACGGGGAAGCGGCCGACGAAAATGACGCACCCACCACCGCTTTGTTTTTGCTCCCGAATTCCGCATCTTGGATGACGGGATTCGACGCTCTGCTCGGCGGCGACCCGCAATAGAATGGCGGTGACGACGCCACTTGGTATCCTCCCTGTCAAACAAAAAAAAAATGCCCCCAAATCCTTCATCAGATCCCTCAATCGCTTGAAATTCTCTCTATCTAAATGCAACCAAAGGAATTGACGCAATGAATGACAATTAGAGAGGGAGAAAGAGCGACCTTGGAGAGGATTATGTCGAGAAGCTCTGCCCCAACTTTTGAATCATCGGCCTCCGCTAGGTAATGATGCCTGCACCAAAAAAGAATTTTCCCTTAAAATTATCAGAACGGTGAAATGGAAAGAGTTATCATCGATGGAAGAAGATCTCAGAAATGAGCAAATCCTACATAGGAGGGGAAGGAGGAACAAATATGAAGGAGGTGGTAGCGAGAGAAAGATTCAAAGCGCCCAATCGACGAGGCTTGGGACAAATAACAGTCTCCATCATCATCACCATCCCCAATTCCCTCTTCTCCTCACAAGCTGCTGCTGCCATGGCGGCCTTCTGCTCATACCCACATCGATTCATCCTCGCTCCCCCCACGAGAAACAAATAGACACGAATACTAGCTGCCTCCTGTAGCTAAACCAACACAATCACGCACCCACTTCAAATCCAGTACCCAGAAGAAAGATGTAGAAGATGCTCTGATGAAATTGGACGAAGGGTATTTATTTACTCGTTCTATTATTGGGAGAGGGTGAAGAGGGGGAAAAGAAGAAAACAAGAAGAAGCGGATGAGAGTGAAAGTTGAGAGACCTGTGAGAGAGACAGAGAAAGAAAGGCTCCTACACAAGGACGAGAGAGATTCCAGGGCAGATCAGCAAGAAATAGGAAAACCAAAGAAGACTAGACGAGTAAAACAACGTGAGATTTTTTCCCCCGGAGAATAAAAAAAAAATCTGGCAGTTAGGAGGGGCAGTGGATAAGAGTGAGATAAGGAACAACGTGGATTCAATATTTATTCATGGCAAAACCAGAAGAGAAGAGATGATGTTGGGGTAGGAAGATGACGTGTAGGATCATGTGTGGCCGAGTGTACTGTAAACTCCATAAAAGGACTAAAAGTTTGGTCGTCTGATTTAATTATTCCTGGCATAACCACCTTTGATTTTCAGTCCACGCCAAAAAGTTAGCATGGAATTATTAAAGAACCGCAATTATCTTTTATTAATTGCTTTCAGTAAAATCTAACTAATTACTTTGCCTTTTTTATTATACCCTACTAATTACTCGAATGGGAGAAAAAAGAAAGAAAGATAGAGAGCAAAAAAAGAGAATATGTGTGTGGATAATGGAGATTATTTGAATATGTTTACATTAGATCTTTCCATAATGAATTATTTATTATAGAAAAACAAATTATTTATATCGTGACGAATTTGTGTCACTCGTTATAGACTTATAGTATGGATAAATTTATTTTGAACAAATTTAGCAAACATCATGGACATCTTTGTCGAATGTGTATGTTTTACTTATCCGAATAAATTATTGAAAAGCTAAACTGAATTATTTGTGTCGCGTCTAAGAAATCGAACATTATTCGGTATGAGGTTTGTGCAACAAAAGGCTAAGCACTTATAGCTCAAACTTGGCCTTTTAAATGGCTTTTTTCCTAGTTTTGGGGGTTTAGGACATCTTTTGAACACAATAACGTGAGGTCAAAAAGATTTGTAGGTGGCCTGATCCTTGAGTTGAAAGTGGCCTGATCCTTGAGGAGTTTGCCTTGAAAGAGCTTACCGAGGAAGAACTGAGTGCATCAGTCTCTAGCTGGACTGATGTTTCAGGTGAGTGGGATTGGGATAGGATGAGGTTATACCTCCCTGATGAGATGATCTCCTTATTGGGATTGATGCGCCTAATTCAGAGCTGGGAGAGCATAGAATAGTATGGGGGATCGAGAAAGGTGGCAAATTCAAGCTCAAGTTAGCCTACTCACTGGTGGCTGGGGAAGTGGACAACACACCAATTGATGCATGGAGAGACCTGTGAAGATGGAAGGGTCCGACCCGTATCAAGCATTTATTGTGGCTAGCAAACCATAACAGGCTGCTCACAAATAAGGAATGAGAAAAGAGAAAGCTTACTGAAGATGGAATGTGCAACCACTGCAAAACAACAGAAGAAACAACAGATCGCATCCTCAGGAAGTGTGGGAAAACTGCTGAACTATGGAGGCATTTCATAAACAAGCTTAAGGTGGATGACAACATAATCGACTTTTAGACATGGTTGATCAAGAACATGATGGATCAGCATACAAGAGTTGATTTTGGCATAATCTGCTGGAACTTGTGGAAACAACAAAATGAAGAAGCAAGGGATGAAAACTCATTCTAAAGCTGGTCTGATTCAGAGGGAGAATGTTTAGATCAACATAAATAGCCAAGCACTGATTAATGCTCAGAAATGCCTCGCACCTGTGTACAAGACCAAATCCAGTCTCGAGATTGCCTGGAAACCTCCAAGAGAAGGTTGGATTCAGGTTCAATCAGACAGATCGGTGATCCAAACTTCTGGTTATGCTGTTGCAGTGCGCCTCATTCGAGACCATATGGGAAGATGTCTGGAGACGTTTGCTAGCAATCTCGGGAGGTGCACCATCACTCGAGCTGAATTGAAAGGAGCTGCAAAAGGTTTGGAATGGCCTGGAAGCTTGGTCACAGAAGAGTGGAGCTCAACCTTGACTCTACTACTGCGTTAGCTATCATTATGAATATGAGTAATAGTGATCACTGTCATGATCACGTTGCTAAGCTCTTTGAGACCATTCTTGCTAGGGAGTGGTTTGTTGAAATTAACCATGCGTTTCGGGAGGATAATTTTGCAGTTGACTTCCTGGCTTCTAAGGGTCATTCCCTTAATTTTCGCCAGTTCCCTTCCCAAAAGCGCTAAGAATAAGATAGAAAAGTAAAAAGGTAGGGAGCCTCTTTGACAAAAAAAGAAAAGTAGGGAGCCTCTAGTTGCGAGCTGCCATCAAATTCTTGGCCCTACTATTTTCGTCAACAGCCACAGATCAGGGCGGATTTTATCCGGCCCGTATGGATTCTCTGTGGGGCAAAGTTTTCCGACCCGTACCAGAGCACGGAGCAAAGCGGCGCGTCATCTGGATGGGCGGGGCAGAGCACGGATATGGTGGTATCCGCCCCATTTCAGACTCGTTGCCATCCCTAGTTGGTGCAGTTGCTTCATGAATGTCGATGCAAGAGTACCTGATTAGACTACAATTGAAGAAGAAACAACATTTTGTGTTTCATATCGCGCTTTCCTCAACCAGAGGATAGTGGGTTTGTGGCTGCGGAGATTGAAGGTCAGAAGATTTCAGAGGCGACAATGGGTGGGCTAGTAGTGGGTCGGGACAGTAATTTGAGCCTGTTAACTCTTCTTGAGGATTTTACTTCCTCGTTCTGCAAACCATAAGAAAATAGCTTCCCTAAATACCCTTCCAAGAATTGTTGTGGAGGTAGAAAATTTGAAATGGAGGTGACAGTCTAGGGGTGGACATTCGGTCGGTTCGGTCGAAACCGAACCGAAATTATGAATACCGGTCGGTTTAAACCGAATTATAATTCGGTTCGGTTTGGTTTTCACACAAAATCGAATTTGTGAAGCTACTTGTATTTTCTCACTTTTAAATTATTTTTCACCCCTAATATAAACAATAAATATCAATGTTATGCATCGTCAATGATAAAACCAAGCTTTTCAACACATAAGTCGTAAAACATTTCAAATATTTAAGTCTAAAAACAACTACAAACATAAAAATCCACCATTTGGAGTTTGCAATTATAGTATTTCGGTTTTTCTGGTAAAAAATTTGGAAATTCGATTCGGTTAAAAAAACCCTGATTTTCGAACTATCCATATTTTCCTTCCGAATTCCGAACCGAATAGTATTAATTCGGTTTCGGTTCGGGTTTACCGAACCGTTTGTCCACCCCTAGGTCACACTATTTACAAGATAAATTTAAATTAAATATTAAACTACAACAAAAATAATCAAAATATGAAGTCAAAATATATTTAGTGAATATTTAATGAGATAGCTTACCGTTGTAAAATCTTAGAATTTTCTGATTTTAGTTTTGTGTTTGCAAATCTATTTAATGTGATTGTTCATTGTTATGACCCTTCTTTATTCTGAAATGATGCTAATTCAAATCCCTGTATCATTTTTGTTGGGAGATTTGAAATTGAAGTCACTACAATTGTGTTCAATCCCATACCACTTTTGAACTTGTTATAGAAAAATATGTAGTTAACCAATTTACATGGCTGCCACTACCACATCGAAAACCAGTGTAAAGAATACTCGCTTCATATTTGCCATTCACAGCCTCTGCAACTGTGTTCGTAGAAAGGAGAGATGGTTGGCATCTCCCCTGACAGGGACGGGAACGGCTTTCGGGCCTTCTTGTTACCAGCACACCCGGTTAAGGCTTTCCACCCTAGCGGTGGATCTTCAACCCAATTTTTTCACCTTCCCTTCTGTTTTCCTGTGCGCGCCAGTGATGGATTTTACAACCCGTTTTTGCTAATCTAACTCGGTGGGTTTTTCATTCTGTTGAATTCTCGATATCAATTCACTAGCACAAGCTTCTACATCCGGGGGGGCAAACTTCGCATTCAATCTCTCGTTGCATCGGATATAGTTTGTGAAGGAAAGGTACGCACTCCAACTGTTTGATCAAATGCTTCTATGAAGGACATTTATATTGCTGAGTGAGATTTTCCCAGAACTTACTTTGGCCCTCTGGGAACCCCCAGTTGGTTCATTGCAGAAGTGTCTCGACATGGATGCAATTTCATGTTAGTCAATGCTATCGAAGCAGTCTCTAATAGAATATCGGTAGATCGGCTTGGGAATATGAGCCACTTAGATATTAATACGCTAATAGCTACTACTTCTCTATCCTGGAAGTGATAGTTGAGGTTCAAGTAGAGCAGCCACCTGAGTTTCTTTAGATGGAGAAGATTCTTTCATTTTATCTCATGGCCCTGTAGATAGAATCTAGATGGCCAACACAATAAGCTAGATGATGGTTCCAACAGGTTATGTGTATCATCTTTACTTTTAATAAAAATAGTTAGGGTTTTCTGATGCTGTTTCTCATTTGATGTGATCAGGGTTTGTGGTTTGATCGGGATTATGCCTTGTGAATGCTGCCATGTCTGAGCACATATTGTTCTGTGCTAACTGCTAAGCAGACAAGGGATTTCCACTGTGAAACAACTTTTGGATCTTCCTAAGCCGAGCTTGCATGCAGTGATTGGAAGTTTCCCTCTCTCAAGCTTATACCAGGTGCAATTTTAAGAACACATCTTGAATATTTTTGGTAAAATCTGAATGGTGAATGCTGAATAGTGCCATGATATTGTTTTTAGTCATCATAGACTCATAGTTTTGTAATAATTGTAGAACGTTCCTCTGATGTTGTGGGTAAATTTGTATCCAAATGATTGTATGTTGTTGTGCCCATCAAATTCAGGGGAACTAGTATAGTAGATAGCTTCTTTGCTCTGTCTCCTTGCTTTTACTGTGAGAACACTGTGGTAGCTAGATGCATTTGACGTGAACTCTAGGGATCACTCTGTGCTTATAAGTAGAATCTGGGTTGTTAATCATGTTCCTCTAAGTTGAACTAACATGGTGGATGTTCTGTATATTTACTCTCCTTGCTTTTGTTGCATGAGAACTACTGAGGCAGCTAGATGTATTAGTCTAACTCCCTATCAAGTGAACTCCTAGGTGTTCATTATTTCATTATGAGCAGATCTTGTGTTGTTAATGTCAATTTTGCGTGCCAGACTCGAAGTAATGAGAAAGAAGACAAAAAATGACACTTTCATATCGAGGCCTGAAGCTATCAAGATTCTGAAAGAAGTTCAAAAGGTGGAGAAGAAGAGGATTGTTAAGAGCACTCTCTCTAATGAAAGAAGTTCCAGAAGTCACAACATGGTATGTATGAATTCTTTCCGAAAGTTCATGAAATTGAATGTAATGGATAGTTCCTTTCTCACTTGGAAAAATTACTTGTGTCTCTTCATCTTTCCTTTCATATAGATTATCCTAGATGTTCCAACAGTGGGAGGTCGCTTGATGCTTGTAGACACGGTAGAATCAGAAAACATTGACCAAGCTGGGCAAACTGGGTTTGAGGCTAAGATGAAGGTAGGTAAAGTTGGCAAGTCTAAGTTGCTTTAATTGTAAAAATAATGTCGCCTTCATATATTGTAAAGTCAATTTAAGGGAGTTTTGAGATTTGCTTCGTATGGAATAAACAGACAACCAAGATAAATCAACGGAACATAGCACTAAAAATGGTAGTTGAGTAAATCGCAAATGGAGGCTCTCATGTGCCTTTCAGAGATAACAAGTTGACTATGCTGCTCCTGGCAAACACTTCCTTTGAGTTTGGTTATGGGGTGAAATATCTGCTTTCTTTGAATTTGGATTTTTGAGTTGTCTTTTCCAAGTCAAGTCTGGAACATTTTATATAAGAAACTAATATAATATTTGGTTTATCGATTTAACTTTGTCATTTTTAATGTTAATTTCAGTATCGTGATGGTATCACTCAGCATTCTGTCAAGACTTCTACTAGTGGTGCGAGACAAATAATGTGATTCTCTGCTCAATATCAGTAACTTATCACTAATCTATAAGTAATAAGTTTCTGAGGCTAAATTAGTTTACGCAATCACTAATCTATAACTAATGTTATAGTCTTTATCACTAATCTTTATTTATTATTGCTTGTTCTATGCTTCAGAGCTATGTGCCATGGTCTGATGTGCAAAAGGCGTGTCTTCTAGCTGTTGTCCTGGCTGACTTGAGTAGTGGCATTCACTATCTTGCATATGGAGACTGGATTTTATCAGGTTGGTGTCACCTTAAAATCAGCTTTCTTCTTCAATAAGTCGTCACCTCGTGCTGATTCTTTCTTTACGACAGAGGCTTTCACTTGCAAAACCAGTATTGTTGATATTAGTGAAGCAATATCTTCTCTGTTCTTGAATACCTTTTCCAAATGGCTCTTGGAGTTTATCCTTTTCCAAATGCCTTTTCCAAAATATGCGGCTGAAAGTTGCTTTTCGCAAACCCAGGCGAGCTTATTGAGCTTTGTCCTCTGGTTGGTTAGACTATTGATCGAATATTTCCTTCCTAAATCTGTGGTTTTAGGTTTTCTGTATTGATGAGTATGCAATCTTCCGTGTTTCATGTCGATTATGTGTCCTATTATCAATCGACGTGGCAACTTGATGATATGGCCACTAAGTATTTGCTAAATGAACAAGGGTTTAGAGTTCCTTAAATCCCTATTTTTCCTTTTTAGTATGACTTGGGCTACATCAGTAAGACAAACAAAAGATATTACATTGATGGCTGCTGCTAACAGTTTCTTAAGTTTAATTTTCTTTGGTAGGTGCCTACTGATTTTGATTTATTTCTGTATCTGTTTGGAGTGAAGGCAACCTTTTCTCAAGAGGATTTTCAATGGAGAGAATACAAGGTATGAATGTTACAGAACTCATGTAGAGAATTAGTGGAGAACTAGAAGAAAGAAGTTTCTGAGACTTACCAGTGCTAGTAGTAAAGTCTCCTTCTGAAGACTTACATTAATGAGCAGTGGCACTTAGCAGTAGCAGTAGTAACAAAGCTGGTTTGAGAGATTTATTTTGATTGTAATGTGACAGAGGGAATACTTATTTATTTTGATCAATGATAAATGGTATAAGAACGATTTTTTTTCGTTGTATGATTGGTTTATATTGATTGAATCATTTTAACTAAAAAGCATAACTAAAAGTAGTGGTGATATTGGTCAATCGGCTGATGACACTATCAAAGCCATTTAGCGTCGGTTACATTTTGTTTACCATCGATTACTCTGTGATGATTTATTTTTGGATTTACCATCGGTTGTTTACATTCACCGTCGGTCAGTAACCGCCATGGAAAAATTTAGTGTCGACAGATTCGCCGACGGACATTGTTGACCGTCGGATAGAATCGGCGCTACATTCATGTTCTGTTGTAGTGTCAGGATATAACTTCCTGTGTCATGATGTTTCCATGACTATGCAAATGCTGGGGGATCGGAAGGTGTTTCGAGGTTGAGAAACTTGATGAGGAAAAGGGAATTGGAAAAAGCTGCCTGGTCAGAGTGCTGTAGAGGTAAATATTCGACTTCGTAGGTTTCTGGTAGATTCAAAACCTCGACCTTCTTGGCCTACTGTGTGATCTTAAAGAAGATGATTTACCCTCTGTCATAAATAAGAAGCTGCATTCATACACATCCAAATCATGAATGAAGGCACTTTTCACTAGCTTCCTGTTGACATATATTCCCACCCTGCTTTCCTTCATATGACTACCTGCTAAATGTCTAGTTATTGCTTGAACCAACTAATGTTCCTTCCTTGCCCCAGGTCTGCTACTACCCTTTTTATTTCGATTTAAAAATCATTATTCCTACTTCCCGCCATCTAAACGTGTAACGACCAGCTTTCCCTTCAGCTTGTAGATAAATAAACCCTGCCCTAATTCTCTCTTTTCTCCTTTCCAAAAAGCTAATACCCAAAATCAAAAGTAAACTAAAGTAAAGCTATCCATCCTTGTCTCTATCTTCTTCATGTTCCTTGCTTTGTCTCTGGGTCTTCTTCTTTCACTTTCATTCTTTGCTTCTTGCTATTGCATTATGATGCATCTTCCTTTATTACTCCTGTCCTCTAAATCTGAATCTCCTCTCATTCCACGTCACCTCCCACATGTTGTCACTTCAATCACAGTCTCCCTTCTCTCTCTCTCTCTCTCTCTCTCTCTCTCTCTCTCTCTCTCTCTCTCTCTCCTTCTCCTTTAGGGTGACTTTTCCTTTTCTCTCTTACAGTATATACAAAAGGTTGCAGGAGAGGGATATTCATTTCTGTGCATCTGCAGTCCCATGCACATTCATAATCTAATCTAGTCTAGTCATCAAAGCAACAAAAAAGGGAGGAAGCAAAGTAAACATTTAGAAATTTTGGTGGTGTTTGTTGTTGTTGTGGTGGGTCTCAATCTTCTCTTTGTTAATGTGCTGGGAAGAACAGTGGCGAGGGATCTCTTTTGAGCTTCCCATCCATGACTCTTACTTTGCTCATCTTCTCTTCACACCAATGCAATTGCTGCTCGCTTAGATCGCTGGTTCTCAGTACCCTCGACACCACCTGGAGGTCGATCAATCCCATCAGTATCTCCATCTCTTCCTCCACCTTCAGTTTCCTCTTCCTTAAGCATTTCCCGGACCGCCGTAGATCCTTCAGCTTCATCTTCTTCTGCAATATTGCAGAAAGTTACAGTTAAGTTAAATAATGTGAAATTGCCCAGGATCATGAATTATATTGACCGAAATTTGGAACTTTTTGTTTTTTTACTTTTCTGTTGACTTTCTTCATCAGATTGAGGAGTGCGGGATCGACCAAGGCTCTTCTGTTTCTCTTGAAGAATGATGCTATAATCTGGCAGGGCCTCTCCTTATCAGCCTTGAGAAAGCACATGAACGTCCGAATCCCGTCTTCCATAATCATCAGGAATGCAGCTGATGTGATTCTTGAGCTGAACCCTTCATCCTTCTGATCTTCCTCGGTATCTTTGACACGCAAATGTGCAGAACCAAAAGTCAGTAATTGAACAGTAAGTAATGCTGTAAACAAAGGGGGTAAAAAAAAAACAGGGGCGACCTGCTTACCTCTGTATTCTGGAACGAGAAGCAACTTGGGTGCCAAAAGCCTCATCCTGGCATAAACCTCAGGCCTCCTTCCTTGCTCATATGGCTCATTCTCGACGTACCTCTGAAGAAGAACTTGAAACTGCTGGAACTGTTGCGCTATATGGGCCGGGCAGCCTGGATCGAAATCACGCTCTGTAGCTCTCTTGCGCAGGAAGCTGATGTAGTTCCAGTTGAGCGCTTCCCAGGTCAAGCAAATCTGAGCTACGTAAGCAGATTCCAGCTCGTGATAAGGATTCTGCCGTAACTCGGAAGGTTTCTTGTTAATGGTCGCAATCTTGTGCACTATCCTGTCCGAAATCGACCTCGGGCACACTTTTATCGACCTCAGCGACTCTGGTTTAAAAGAAAAAGATCCAGACTTTGATCCTATAAATCACGAAACAGGGGGGAATTGGGTAAAACAGAGTGAGTGAGCAGCAACAGCAATGAATTTACCTGTTTCCTGAAGCTTCTGGGCGCTGATTCGGTTGAGGAAGATCATTTCCTCGTCGTACTTCTGGAAAACGGTGTAGGATTCCCATTTGGGGCAGCTTCGTCGGGAAGAAGAGGAGAACGGGTCTTCTGTGCCCGAATCCTTGATCGAGCTTCTCCACTCGGTGGAGCTCTTTGACGTGGAACCCACGGTACACGAATCCCCGAATATCTCCTCTCGTTCGTCGTCGCGGTCATCGTCGTCGATGATGTCCTTCCACTGAGTTGCTTGATGAACAAACTTCCTGGAATCCAACTGGGTCGGCTCGAAGACCAAAAACTTCTCCTCCACCTCGGTACGAAACTCCTCTGCTTTCTCCTTGTTCTTCTTCCTAGAGTCTTGCTTCTCTGCAACGTAATCACAAATGTTACAACAAAAGAACAAACAGGCAAAAGGCTGAAAAACACAGGACGGGCCGGGAAGATCTGTACGTAATGTAACTGACGGGATTTTGGTACCTGCGTAGGTTGCGTCAGGGTCAAGAAAAGCAGAATGGGTGGTGGTTTCTTGGAGGTTTATGGTGACCCGTGATGTGGGTCCTTGTCGATTCGGGACAGAATCAGGGAGAGCATCAGCATGATGATTATCTGCCGTGTGAATCTGTGTTTGGTCTTCGACGTCGCCGGATTCTGATCCTGGTGACGAGCCAAGGACCGATGAGAAGAGTTCATCACTAGTACCACTGCCATAGCTGCTCCCCTGGTCTTCTTCTTCTTCCTCTTCGGGCAACAGGGTCGGGTCGATCAGGAACTCGGTAAACCCGAATGGGCTGCGGCTCTGGTGGTAGTAGGCATCGTTGTGGTCCTCTTTTTCTTCTTCTTCTTCTTCTGCCTCCTCTTCTTCGTCGGAGGTGAAGACGTACTCTTCGTTGGGATCTCTGCATGGAAGACAGAAGTTATAAGTTAGAATGAAACCATGAAAGGCAGAGAAGGAGAGCTACTTGTTATGATGTTAATGGCGGTCAGTGAGGGAGGACCTGTAGAGGATCGGGTAGCTGCCGATGAAGCTGAGGAAGGTGAGGAGAAGAGAAATGGAGGAGTAGAGGAAGAGGAAGAGAAGGAGGGAGAAGCTGGAGGCATTGTAGAACAGCCAAACGAGCCTCTCTTTTGAACAATGTTGCATGTTTTTTGCGAAAGAGAGGAGGAATTGGATTTGAGTGCGCCTATCAACTTTGAGACCCTCTCTCACTAAAGCAAAGGCAAAGCAAATTAAGCAAAGAGCAAAACCCACTAAGGCAGAAAGAAAAGGTGGTGTGGTAAGGTAAGCTCTGCTTTAGTTTGCCTTCATACCCTTCTTCCCTTTTCTTTTGGGGGTCCTTTTTTGTTTTTTCATATATAATCAAAATCCTTTTCTTCTACATTTATATGGGTTTGCTTTTTCAAGTGGGGGAAATGACGATTACATCCTTCTTTTAGTTTGTGTTTGTTGTCATATTTTGATGTTGTGAAGTTTTGCCACTTGGGGAGTGATGAAGTTAATGGATGATTGTATATAGATGAGTACATGTGGTCTACATCTTAAGGTTGGCATGATTATGATCATGAACTCATGTAAATCAATCATTGAGAGATGGGATATACAATTAAGTTGTCAAATAATATAGTTGAATCTGGTTTGACCATGCATTTGAGGGTGGTAGTCGGTTACCGGTTAGTCGGTCAATCAAAAAATCAACCCAAAAAATTGATTAGTTGGCTAATCGAAAACTACCAAAGATTTCAGTTGACATATTTTCGGTTATTAGTTAACTATCGATTTTCAATTAATAATTGATAAAAGACCAGTGCACCGAAACCTGATCGACCAGCTTAAATTATCACCTTACTGTTGTCATGCCTTTCTACCTCTTTCTCTTCCTCCTACCCCTACTGTCATCATCGTCTTTGTCCTCTTCATCTCGCTTACTATATTTCGTAGAGATTGACCAACACCAATTACCTATAGGAAGTTAAATGATATTGAAGCTAGAGATCTATATTTATGGTTTTCCTTATATTAAATTAAACAAGTTGATGTGTCGATATATAAACTTTGGATAGACAATGTAACACAGACAAATAAAGTGACTATCATTCCTTAGTCCAAAATTAAAAAGATGTATAACTCACCCAATAAATTTCAGTCATACCCAAAGTGCACTTTTATTCACATTCTATAATATTGAGAAGTGACCAAAAAGAGAAGTTTCACCAATAAAGCATCGAGAATCTATACAACTCAATCATACATCAAGACATATACACAACTCGTTCATGCATATATCTCTTACATAAGAGATTACTATGTGAAACCTCGTATCATAATAGATCAGGGGAAAGGCCAAAAGAGCAGAAAGAACAATTAAAACAAATCGAACCTAAGATCTCAGTCTCTTCAAGCTAAGAACTAACTAGAAAAAGCTAGCCTTATTCATTTGGAAAACCACCTAGAGAAAGAAAGGCATACAAATCAGCAATAAAAAAAATATCTTCATTTGGGGTGTAAGTAGTACTCAGACATCAAAGTAACCTTGGCCAAATTAAGGCTGAGGGCTATATCTATATTTAGACCCTTTATTAGTTTGGTTTGTTGATACGTGTTGAAATCGTATGAGTGAATGAATCGTTTTCTTGGTGGGATTGAGCCAGTTCTCTCTTTTCTTGGCAAAAAATTACCAGGGGTTTTACTTATTGAAATTCTGCCCCTTGTTATTTATTTGCTTCCACGACTAGCTATTGCCTACTCTTTTTCCACTTAAGGTGGAGGGACTTTATTCCAACCAAAACAACCAGCAACTACTACTCCTAATCAGTAGGGAATACCCTTTCAAGCTAAAACAAAACCCAAAGACTACTCCTGTCCTGGCAACGGTAAGCTTGGACAATGGTTGGGCTACACGAAATCCCGTTAGCGCGAATTGGACTGGGGTTCACAAGCTGAATGTCGGTTGGGCTGACTTCATTGATTCGTGGCCTTATCATTTGTCTCTACCTAATTACACAAAGATGCTTTGTGGAATTATAATAATCGTTTCCTTCATTACTTTGTAATTTGATTAAGTATATACCTCAGTTTAGGATATAATAATATGTATGTGGAGGTTACTTTTCTTGCACCCAAACTTGGATACTAGGTTGTGTGTTGAATGTTGTCTGTGAGCAAAAGATGTAGTAGTGTGTGTATCGATAATTGTTCAGTCTTGCAATCCTTCTTGGTTCTATCCATCAACATATGTTCATAAATGCTAACATATAACGAAAAAGTGTTTGGAGCGATAATCGTGATATATTCGGTACTTATATGATCATACGCGTGGATTCATGGTGCATGGTTAAAACTGATATTTGTACTTTTATCTAAAATTCGAGTTATTGGAACTTAGTGGTTCATGAAAAATATTAGAGCTAGTTTGATCTTGAGTTCACATGTTCAAGTCCTCACGATAATTAGTATCATTTGTTTATAAGTTGACTCACATTTGAGGAGGTGTGTAAAGAATGATTAATATCCATACATATGGACTTCTACCAACAACTTGACTTAAGTGGACTAAATATTTCTTGACATTTACTTGAGCTTATAAGTTCACCATTTTGTGTAAAATATTAAGATATGTATCTTAGTTATGACAAATATATGTGGGTTACGACATTAATGCTTGCAAGAGTTTTATAACAAGTAAAAAACAAAATATGAATGTCGGATATCGCTGAACTACTGATTTTTTTATTTATATTTTAAGAAAATATAATTTCATTAGAAAATAGAGATAAATTATAGAATTTGGACCACGGTCGAGGAAGGATAGAGTACAAGTCCACTGTAAAAAGGACAAAAGAAAACTGCGAATATGAAAATATGAGCACTTATACTATGCTATAAAGCACGTGTGTTTTAATGTACAACTTAAAGTTGTATCATTACGTAAAATGTATAAGTTTGGGTTGTACCATAAATGAATTTGCACCTTTATGCAATGGTACAACTTTACAACTTTAAGTTGTATCATCACATAAAGATACAAGTTCAAGTTGTACCATAAAAGAATTTGTAAAATAGATGAGGTACAAGCTGAAGACTGAAGTTATACCATAACGTTAGAAGTACAACTTGAAGTTGTACCATAAAGGAATTTGCACCCTTATGCTATGGTACAACTTTACAACTTTAAGTTGTATCATTACATAAAGATACAAGTTCAAGTTGTACCATGAAAGAATTTGTAAAATAGAAGAGGTACAAGCTGAAGTTATACCATAACGTTAAAAGTACAACTTGAAGTTGTATCATAAAGACAAATGAGCACATCTACTATGCTATATAGTATTGGTGCTTTAATGTACAACTTAAAGCTGTACCATAACATTAAATGTATAAGTTTAGGTTGTACCATAAAGCAATTTGTACCATTATGTTATGATACAACTTTACAACTTGAAGTTGTACCATCACATAAAAGTACAAGTTCAAGTTGTACCATAAAAGAATTGGCTTAATTGCAAGTTTGGTCACTCGAATTGCTACAAAATTTCATGTTTGGTCACTCGAATTGATTTATTCCATTCGTAGTCACTTAAATTAGTTGAACAGTCCAACTTTGGTCACTCTCCGTTAACCTCCGTCCAACTCCGTTAGTACCGTCAGTTAACTGCTGACGTGGCTAACAGAGGTGCTTAGTCATCCTATTTTAACAAAAAAAAAATATGCCACATCATTAACCCCTCCATATTTTAAAAGTCCACCCAAACCCAATCAACCCCTGACCCGAACCGAACCCCTGAACCAACCCATTCACCTGTTCCCCCTCTCCTCCCCCCTCTTCTTCCCCAGCTCCGACCCCATTCAATCTCCCAAACCCTATTATTGACCGCCTAATTTTCACCGATGCTTCAGGGTGTTCCCCAATGGCCGATCTTTGGGCGGCCACATGAAATCCCACATGGCCAAACTCCGTCTCCCACCCATATCTTCCTCTGCCACCACTTGCCGCCGCCGCCCTCGCCCCGATGACGACGAATCGTCGTCTTCTTTCTCCTATTCCTCTTCAAGGGAAGAAGATGATGAGCTGGAAGTGGAGCAGGAAATCGTCAAGAGCAGAGCGGTGGCGGAATTTGGGGGATTTGGCGATGCTGTTTACGGGTTGAGGGAGAACCCGAGGAAGAGTTTCCGGGTCGCGGATCCCGAGTTCTCCTTCGCTGGGTCGTCCTCCGTCGTGCAGGACAGGTAGAGCGAGACCGAGTCGAGGAACCCGACCCGGAGGCGATCCAAGCGGACCCGGAAGTCGGGCGGAGATGAGAAGAAGGGATTTGGTGAGAATCAGCGTTGGATTTTCGATTCGCCGGCGGCGGCGGCAGAGCAAGAGCCGGTGAGTTCGGTCTCCGATACTTCCCCTGAAGAAGGTGTGGCGATGTGCCTGGTGATGCTGTCGAGGGATGTGAACTGGAAGGGAAGATTCAGTTACAAAAGCGACGAAATTGAAGAGGAAGATGAAGAGGAAGAGGCGGAGAATGGAGAAATCAAGAGGAAGGCGGAAATCGAGGAGGAAGATCAAGGGATCATGGAAAGGGGAAGCAGAATTCGCGGGAAGAAGTTGAAGTGCGAGAAATGCACGAAACAGTTCCGATCGTCACAGGCATTGGGATCCCACCGCCGGATTTGCTCCCTCAACGGAACCCATTGTCAGAGTTCGGGGAGGAGAGGGGGAACAGGTGAATGGGTTGGTTCAGAGGTTCGGTTCGGGTCAGGGGTTGATTGGGTTTGGGTGGACTTTTAAAATATGGAGGGGTTAATGATGTGGCATGTTTTTTTTTTTTTTTGTTAAAATAGGATGACTAAGCACCTCTGTTAGCCACGTCAGCAGTTAACTGACGGTACTAACGGAGTTTGACGGAGGTTAACGGAGAGTGACCAAAGTTGGACTGTTCAACTAATTTAAGTGACTACGAATGGAATAAATCAATTCGAGTGACCAAACATGAAATTTTGTAGCAATTCGAGTGACCAAACTTGCAATTAAGCCTAAAAGAATTTGTACACAAAGTATATGTACAATCTGAAGTTGTACCATAACGTAAATATACAATTTTAAGTTGTACCATAAAGACAAAACCCTATAACACCAATACTATATAGCATTGTAAAATTTCTCAAAGACAAATACCTATAGCACCAATGCTATATATCATTGTAAAATTTCTCATCAAAATATACATAAATTCACATTAAACCAAACCAACATAAGTCCATACCACCACGTAAATACATAGCCCCGGCCCACAGAAACCCTAGCCCGGAAACACCCAACCCAACAATCCACGGCCTGCCTCCTAGAACAGCCGCCGACCACCACCATTAAAGCTTCACCGCCGACCACCACCGCGTCGCCACGGAAGCAAGTACCATCAATCCTCCAACTAGCACAACAGAGCACACATGAGGGAAGAAACCCACAACCGTTGAAAAATGCTGTTAAAATACATGATATTTTGTAATTAAATGCGATTTAATACATTTTTTTTTCTGTAGGAATACATTTTTTTTACCATAATGAAATGTACTATATATATTTTGAATCTCAGGGACAAAATACATGCACGATTTCAAACAAACTACAATTATGCCTAGGAAAGACACATACAGATACAATACTGTTGATTTTGCAAGGACGGAAAAATCGAACAAACAGGAAAAACTGCCCACAAAATCACTCTAAGGCGTAGTGGCAACACTAAAATCAGAGCCATACTATAGACGGCGAAAATGAATTTGGTTCTAAATTTGTAGATGTACTTAGATCACTGAGATTTTTAAATTGTGTCATGTTTAGTCACTAAAAAAATTTAATATCAATTTTGGTCATTCGAAATACTGAAACATGTCACATTTAGTCACTCTCCCCTTAATTTTTTCTAGTAACTAAATATGACTTGATTCAGTATTCTCAGTGACCAAATGTGACATTAACTCATAGATTAAGTAATAATAGGTCAAATAATCGTGGAATCGGTTTGGTCGAATTTGAGTAAGTTAAGACCCTAAAGGAGTAGAGTTTATTTTGGATTTATCCACGAATGGCGTTGATAGAGTTTTCGTGTCCACCACCACTGCTCGCTGATCATCAAATCCAAAGTTAATTATTGAGTTTGACAGTAAACCAAAACCTATATATAGGAGGATACACATATATGTACTTACTAAATAAGTGAATGATAATTCCTGTTCTTTCTTTTTATAATTTAATTTGTTACGAATTGAGGCAATCTCTTATACGTAAACTTGTTTATAGCTTATAAGAGAGAAGGGAACAGCAGTCAGAGAATGGGAGGAATGAAATTTCCATAAAATGTAAAAAAAATAAACAAAACGAGATCACACATGCAAGAGCCGTACGTAGATTATATATTAGAATATGATTTGGGTTTGTTTTGTGTTTTGAGCCTATTTAGTTTGGATTTGTGTTTGGGCTTTGTTTGACCTTTTTCTTGTATGTATGGGAAAAAGTGTTTGGTTTTCTGTTTGGGATTAGGAGAAGAGTTCTATAAATTTCTTCATCACCCTAATCTGTAGTAATGTCAGTCAGATTAGTTTGTTTGGTTTGTCCGTTTGGAATTTGGTTTGTAACCTGTACTCTCCTCAAATTAATGAAATTTGTTCTCCCCTGCCCGTGGATTAGCTAGCACACATTGTGTTAGTGAACCACGTTAAATTTGTGTTTGTTCGTGTTGGTTTGGATTATCGATTGCACGCTTATGTTCTGACATTATAAGATTTTGATAAAGCGAGACACAAAACACTCGATTTACGTGGTATCCCCGATTACCGGGACTAGTCCACGGGAGAGCTTAACTCTCCGGCTGCAATATTATTAGCTTAAAGCTTGGGTTTGGCCGATGGCCTTACAAGTTGATTTATACCCTTTGCAACGTGATTCTAGGGCATTACAACTGGGACAAGAAAACACAGCAGCAGTATGTGAAGCACTGGGCTTCGTACATGGTGAGGTGTCGTCTTGGGCCTGTGGATCCGAGGTACGAGGGCCCAAATCCATTATAGATGCATCATGCATGTCTCTTCATCGTGAATATGAACTCTTTCTTGTACCGAAAGATCGACCGGAAAACCTTTTTATTAGAAGTGAAATGAAACCGGTATGTGGCATTGGAGTAGCTGGACTTTGAACTGACTGGTTGGGGGTCCGGTCCTTAAAATGTTTTAAACACTAAAGTCTGTTTGTTTAATGGACTTTTAATCGTTGATTGGTGTCCTTCAATGAGTCAGCATCGACGAGAATATGAGGTTCTAAATTCGGAAGATCGATCATATACTTAACCCCTACGTATCTAAACGATTTTGTTTCCCCCGGTATATCCCGATCGAATGGATTCCTAGGACAACCCCCTCTCCTCAAGACGTGGCTCCGCCACTAATAGGCGGTAATGAACACCAGAAAAATAGTCGAACCATATTTTCACCATAAAATACCCTACTACTAACTTTTCGGGTACGATATTTCAATCCTTATCGTTTCAGTGTTATTAAAGCCGAGCCGCTCGGCCCGACCGGTAAAACCGCCATCCGGTTACAATATTGGCTCGGAACAGTCTAAAAGCCGTTTCGGATTTATGTAGCGGTTGACGAGCAGCCAAGGGGGTTAACCGCTCGAGCCGATCGAGTCGCTCGTCCGGTTTTTTTCCATTCAGTCGTTAAATTTGATTTAAAAATTTACAGAAAATTGAAATAAACGAAAAACGTCGGGGCTCTCAAACTGAATAATCCTTATTTTCATTTCACACTTTCGAGGGAAAGAGACGAGCTCTGATTAAGAAATGTTCACTATTTATACTAATAACGTTTATTAGGTGCCAGTTCTCTAACGCTTTTTAAACAGTCTAATGTCAGTTGGACCACTAAAATACGAGTCGTTCGCATTACCGGGTGATGCTCCGGTTCAGTTCTGACAACATTGGTTACATCCCATACACGACATCCCCCGTCGCTTTATAAATAGCAACCGCACTCACGAAGAAGTAAACATATAGTCACCACCGCTCACCACCAAGCAGCAGCAGCTGGGTTTCCGCAAGGCCTTAGTGTCGGCCGTAGCTTTAGCGACCACGATAGCAATCATGGCGCAACCCACCGTCCAGCTCCAGCACACGGTTCGCGTAGTGAAGCAGCGGGGTGCTGACGGCGCACTGCAGATCCAAAGACGACGACATGGGCATCCAGCGCCTCGACGTCGGAGGAGTGTTCAAGTGGAGCTTCTGGCCCAACTGGCCGCCACGTGTCTTCGGGTACACGTTTTTCTGATGCGACATGTCGGCGGACGGCAGGGGGACGCTCAAGTTCGACGCGTACGATGGGGAGAGAGAACCCAGATACGAGCATGACCGGCCGCTGGGAAGTTAGGGACGACGGGGTTCATACCGTGAGCGGTTATGGCGGCGGTTACTTTCGTCATCACTTCAGGGTTCCCTGGAGGAAACCGTGATGATGATTGCTTTCTGATTCTCGTTTTGTGTGTTCCCGTTTTAATTCAAGAGCATATTTTTTTTTTTGGTGAGCTTAATACGCATATGTAACCTTTATTTTTTCTTTCCTAACCTTCTCTTGACGAGAATAATAATCTCGTTTCTTTTATTGATTTTATTCCATTTACTAACACACTTCCTCAAGTAAAACCTAACTTATATGGCTTGAAATTTGCATAACCCCGATTATCATATGGGGTCACCAATATTCATATGAAAGATCTTTCGATCGTCAATTCTCAATTAGACGCGTCATAATTTATTTGCATTATCAATTAATTATTATATCTAAATATTATTTTTTTACACTCTTCCTCCCCTTAGTAGAAATCAAGTATTTTTTGTTTTTTTTTACAAATTAGCTAAAATTTGGTGGAAATTTTGTTCTTAATATTGAATAAGTACACCTATATTTTTTATGAGGTAATGTTTACATAATTGTCTTGTTTGGCTTGTGATTCGGCATGAGACAATTGTGATGATGCATTTTATGAAAATACATATTTGCCCTCATACTTTTGCCCTTCTCCATCTTGGGAAAAGGAAGAAAGAAGAAAAAATAGTATATAAAGGGGGTTAGATTGGGAAAAGTGACCCACAAAATGGAGTAATGTAGATTACCTCCCTCTCACCCAAGTAATTATGATTGACCCATAATGAAGCAATTTCAATTATCTCATATCCAATTGCCTCATTC